TTACCTTTGAGGCATGCTTCATTCACATACTCCCTGAACCATTTAATCACTTCCATACCTTGCAACAGCACTGTGGCCTTCTTCCCTTCCCTAATCTTCAAGCTTGCCCCTCCTTTGTTTTTCAGCTCTTCAAGCAGAAACTCCTTGGCTTCAAACTTCAGCATTCTCCTCCATCGTCCTGCAGCCACAAACCCATCCATAGTCGAATCTTCTTTTTTACAGCTCTTTAAACTTCTTTTTTACAGCCACAAACCCATCCATAGTCGAATCTTCTTTTTACCTCGTCAACAGATCTCTGTCTTGTAGATGAGGATGCAGCAATAACACCCCAAGCTCTGAAAAATCCTCAATTGAAGTCTGAGAACAGCTTCATGCTCTTTGCCCGTTTTGTTATATGTCTTTAGGCCATAACTTCTGACCAAAATCTATATTGAAGATTTATCTGTATGGAAGAGCTCTCAAAAACTTTGCAGGTATTTTGATCCGCTGGGCTTTTGAAAGATCTATTAGAAAGACTTGCCAAACAGTGTCTAAGTTAGTGAACAACGAGAAGCTGTAAGGCTTACCTACTGTAGATAAAATTAATTTGTCACTCCATTCAGCAATAAAAACAAGTTATAAAAGTTCTAATTACAGTATTAGTAGAAACAATACCAGCACCATTTCCTGAACTGCCAGTTATGATTGGTACATAAAATACAATCCTGTCAGTAATTAAATGTGCCAACTGATATACCATGACTCTGGGTTGGAGAGGATCAACTAGTGTGTGGATATAACACAACTAAAGGGGGTTTGGATGTGTATAAAAAACCAACTATGGACTAATGTGAAGAAGTGATCTTATGCAAGTTGAAGGATCAAGAAGAGCGACGGGGAGGCTAAAACGAACACAAATTGAGGTAGTAAAAAATGATTTATGATTCACAAGTTAACTATGGATATGGCAATAAATATCTGACCCCATATACCATATAGTTGGGTTAAGGCTTTGTTGAGTTGAGTATATGGCATTAAATGAAGTGGAAAGGCAAAACAGCATTTGTGCAGCCAACCCCATATACCATATAGTTGCTTGCATTGTGATTTTCCTTTGGTAGCCTCTGTTTTGATGAAATAGGACAATCGTGATGACTCCTTCTGTTATATGAGACGCTAATTGTGTTTAATCTTTTAAGAAAACTCAATCAGTACATCATGGTCTAACCATTTGACCCTTATCATATGTTCCTTGTTTTTGCAACTTGGGACTTGATGTTGATTGTTATTGCTTTGAAATCTTTCTATTATATGGTTGTATCTTGAAAAATGTTATTCCTGAAGTTAACTTTGCTATTGTTTCACTTATT